TGTGGAGAGAAAAAAAGGAACTCACAGGATTAACCTGTCACCACATCATCTTTTAATCTTTACTAACAGTTCTGAGTGGTGCATATTATTATACAAAGGTGGGAAGAAAGATGGCAAATAAATCAATTTGTTGAATGTTTGGATGTTGATGTGGGGGAGCTGGACAAACAGCGGCTGCATCTCTTAAAGTCCAACATGAATCAATTCTCACGTTTTCCAATTATTTGTTGAATTAAATGTAATTTTAGAATTATATTTGAAAATAAATGTTTTTTTTTTTTTGTAGATGATCAAAAGCAAAAGACTGTAGTTTAACCCTCATTCATCTAATGATTTTGACTTTCTGACTTGTGGTACCAGGCTACAGCGCTCAGGAGGCCCTGAGACTGGCCCTCTTAGACTGGATGCAGGAGTTCACCAGCACCGATCAGCCTGGAGGTAGCGTGACGCTAAAGTTACTTTCATTCACTCAGAATGCAACAAAGAAATGAGGCCAGGTTCTATTCAAAGCTGTGTGCATGCCTGTAGGTGCTTGTGAATCAGCTAGCCTAAAAAAAGAGCTGTCTGATGAGGAGCCCATGCAGACGGACGTGAGTGAGAGCCCCTATGTTCCCGGGCCAGGAGAGAACCCGCTGTATACAGCCAAACCTCTGACTCTGGACGACCTGAACCTGCTTTCAGACCTCTTCTATCTGCCATACGAGCATGGGCCCACGGCCAGGATGATGCTGGAGGAGCTGGACTGGCTCAAGAACCACCGTCCGGCTGCTGCAGCTCCCACTGAAGAGGTAGGCCGGGGTTGAGGGTTTAAACCCTTCCTAAAGCTGAACACTTTGATTAAGCCGCGTCACTTTTTTCTTTCAGTGGTGCGGCAGGGCGGGCAAGTTTGACGGCATGTGCGAGGGCGTGGTGCAGATGTTCTACCGCCTGTCAAACGTCCCGAACCGCAGAGTTCTGTACGATCTGTACAACTACATCTGTGACATCAAGAGTGGGGTCGGATTGGCACGGGCTTACGTTAAAACACTGGGTGGGAAAACTTTTCCAGCTGGAACAAAAATCAGCATACATTAAGAAATTAGATTTAAATAAATAAACTTTTATATATATTAAAAATATTATGTATTTCAATAACGTTTAAAACTCAAATTCAAATTCCCAAATTAGTTTTCTCTGAAAATGATACTAAGGCCAGTTAAAATAGATTTTTACATGAAAAATGTCTGACTTATGAAAGGTATCTCCATGTGCTGGTATAGAATAGGCATTAGCGCTCCTTCTACATGTATTATTGACATGAGGTGTTATAGAAGCCCTGCTGCTTTGCTAGCAGCATTCCAGTCATCTAATATCTCTCATCTTCCCCTTAACACTCCATAGATTCTCTATGGGGTTAACACCATGGCCATTGAATCAGCGTCTGGTAGCTCTGGCAGTGTGGGTGGTTCCTGATGCGGGAAATTAAAGCACAATCTCAAAGGTTGTCGGCACAAAGAACCATCAAATCACTTTTCTGCTGTGGTGTTGCGTCTGCATTGGCTGTGGTGCTCAGTAAATGCCAGAGCATCGCCAGCAGATGACATCGCACATTAAATAACAACGGAATGGGGAAACATCCAAATGGACTTTAAGAAACATTGATTCTGATCCTTTTTAGCAATTACCCTTTTAAGTTTCTCCTTAATGGCTCCATGTGTGTTTCCCTTGATTATGTGGGAAACAAAAACATACAAACTATGTAGTAATATAGTCTAATCTTAAATAATATTCAAATGTTCTTAGAAACGTTGTTTCCATCAGCTATAAGCGATGGAATATAATTTACTGATTAATTACTCACGGATAGTGTCTTATTCCTAATTATTGAGATGCAGCTGCGACGAATGCCAGCTTCATTGAACACTGTGTTACTCTGTGATCTGTTTACCCACTTATAAGCTGTTTATAATATTATGTGTTTGTTTCCACAGGAGGTCAGAATCAACCCTCAGCCCAGTTGCTGAATGATGATCCTGAACCTTGGGGCTTCCGGGGAGGCCTCTCTGGGGAATTCCAGGTAAACAAACCATATTAGCGATTTCTTCCAGTTCTAGTTGGTGAAAGCTCAAGACTTGTTGTAAACAGGTTAAAACTGTAGAGTTAATAGGCTGTTTGTTTTCAGAGGATGCTGCCAGGACATGGAAACAGGGACCTGTTCAAACACCCTCCCATGACAGCAGTTTACTGCATTCGCCCTTACTGCACCGAGGACAAGGTTAGAGTCATCAATGAGTCACTGTATGGGTGATATAGAATAGAAAAACCCTTTATTGTCCCAGATTAGAGAAATTCTGGTGTTATATATGATTTACAATAAAGGTGTTATCTGCTAGGTTGAGGTGCAGAAGATCTTTAAGGAGATGCAGACAGAGGGTGACGTCCGCCTGCAGCCTAAACTAATCAGTGACAGGTAAGAAAGGTTGCACTGTGAAAGCAGGGAACTTCTTATTTGTCCCTCACTGGCCTCCTTAGGGTGTAAAAGGTAACATTAGAAGGAACCAAAGATGAATGCAGAATAGCAAATTATTCTAACCCATTTTATATTTCTTATCATGAATCCCTACAATAAAACATCACTTAGAAGGGCTTAGTTCCAAAGATTCCTGATATGTTTTTGGGATTTTGATGGAAACCTCCAGATCATTTTTATAGTTTTATTGACATGATTTTTCCAACTTTCCAATTCACTGAGTTCAGGTTAATGGCTTTATTAATTATTAGTTTCCAGGTCCAAAATTATAAACTATGCACAGGAAAACATCAAAGAAATAATAGAAAGAAGGTACCTGAAAGTTTCTAACAACATAACAGATCCTTCATATATATGGTTGGTTTTTAGTTTTTTTATTTGATGTTTTTCTGGTCCGTAACATTGCGTTATTCCTATCTAGTGCTTTGAAGGATTTAACTGTTATTTTAGAAATGCTATAACCAGAGAGCATTTGACTGGTCCTCAGCAATGAGTTCTTCTGCTGTAACGTTTCTTCCTAATGTCCTCTCTGCAGCCTGTCATCATGTGAAATCCCCCCCTCCCCACAGTGTGCTCTTGTTGTTGAGGATGACTTTGGGGTTTGTGGATATGCGCTGGCACTCACTGACGCCAAACAAGCTGCAGGCTCTGATCAGGTGATCACTACTAAGGTCTTGTTTCTATAACAGGTAGACATTGAATGAAACATGGCAGACTAAATCTGCTCTTGTGGTTCCAGAGGCCAGGAAATGACCCATTATTGAAGGATTACCCTTCCCTGGTGGCAGTCCAGGTGCTCCCTCGGGTCACTGATCCATCCCCAGCTAAACGTATGATTTCTCAGCTGTTGTCCTCCCTCAGGAACAGTGGTAAGTCGGCTTGAAACAGCTGGGTTAAACTCAGACTTTTTGGGTCTATGGGTTTGCCACAAGGGGGGGCTGTTGAGTTATGTTCCTGCTGTCCATAATTTACCTTAAATTTAAAGATAAAACTGCCTAAAAGTTTCCCTTTTATAAAAAGTCTTTGTACGTGACCAAAGACAGACTCATCTGTTTGACTTTCAGGCTCCAGAGGAGTTTTCTGTGAGCTGAGGCAGAGCGACCGGAGGATGCTCGACTTTTTCTCTAAACTGGGCTCCTTTAAACACATTCCCATGGACAAGAGCCTGTCTCAGGATGCTGTTGTCATGGCAACACAGCTCTAGTAGCATGAAAGCATTTGGGATGATGATAAACTACTAAAATCTCTCATGTATTAGCACATTGGAATAGATTTTGTTGTATTTTAAACCTGTAAGGTGTAAGGTTGCTTTTTCAATAAATGGGAAACCTCTAAGTACTTTTTATTTCTAAGTTTATGTGGCACATTTATAGAGATACACAAGTACAGGATAATCACAGGATTTATTTTATTTTATCTTTTAGACAATACAAAGGGAATATATTAAGAATTAATCTTTGATTTAATAGCTTTTTAATTTGTTCATTGGCTTTAGAGGCATAAAAACTTAGTTCAGAAAAATGCTGCAGTCGATTTACAAGGATCAGTAAAGACACACAGTCGGCTTCATATGGTGTAACTGCTTCTAGTTGCCATTCTGGCTGTAATCAGTCTGCTCCATACAGCACTGATCACTGGAGTAATTGCATCATTAAAAAAATGGACAAATCTCAGTGTTGCTCTGCAGTAAAACTTAATTAAACTAGATATTAAAGACCTTCTGTTTCCCCATTTATTAAACTGTTTATCCTGAGTGATCAGCTAAGAAACGCTGAACAGAAAAAGATATCCCATATGCAGTATTTGCACAGCTTTTGATTATGAAAACCCTGTTTAAGGAGAAAGTGTCTTTGCTGCTTCAAAGTTTTTTAAATAGAAAAATAGCTATTACCGGTAAATGAAAAACAAAGCATGGTGTGAATTAAAAAGCAAAAAGATACACATCACACAGAAACGATGGAATGTGAAAGAAAAATTCCAGTCAAATGTCGTCATCATCATCCTAAGCAGGATCTGTTGAACTAATTTGGGGCTTTTAAGGATTTAGTCAAACTAGTACACTGGGAATATAGTTTAACACAATAACTGGGTGGATACATTTTAATTTACCCTACATGGTGTTTGACATGAAAACCATTCTGGAAAACGAACAAGGAGCACGGTGGCAGCAGCAGCATGCTGTGGTCTCCAGACGGGGTGGTACTGTTGCAATGTATAAGGGTTAATTAAGAACGACTGCTGTCTATACTTCTAAAAATAAAACAAAGCATTTTAGTAAATCAAATTGGACGATTCATCCATCCCAAAGACGACTATTTTGTTTATCAGTAAATAAGAATCTTATTTGGCACCTAATGAAAGAGAAAATAATTTAGTGATTCCAGAGGATAGTTTCAGCAAGTTTAGACAAACACTAGAAAATTGCCCCTGTTCCCTGTGTTATCAGTCTCTGTTTTAAAACTGCTTCAAAAAACACACTTAAGTTTTATATTTTGGTATCATTTATGTAGAGTTTTGCCTTTTTTGGTTGTAGCCCCTACTCCGGTATCTTCTCTTCGACTTAAAAACGAAAGCATCTAGCAGCACCAATATGGCGCAGGTCTGACCATTCACCTGTGACTTCTCCCATATAAAACGTTTCACAAATGGATAAAACAATCTGTTCATTAAAGAGCACTTTTAAATGAACTCCAGGCCTTCATACTTTACATCTCCAATCTTGGTCTCAGGCATTAGAAGCTGCCCATCTAGTGTAAAGGCAATGATGTATGTGGCGATCCTGCCGCCATCCTCCTCTGACTTCAGAGCCAGGATGACCTGGTCATCTGTGTCAGGAACAAATTTAAATGAGGAGAAGCCATGAGTAGGGTTTAACGGCCCGACGCGCCGCAGGGTCACGTGTCTGAAGTCCGCAGGGCAGGACAGGAGAAGGTTGGTGGCTCGACGCTCGTCAGCTGCCTCGTCGTAGCGCTCGTGGCTGGCACGGCGAGGTAGAAAGAACCACCGCTGGAGACGTTCGCTCCAAGCTGCTGATTCATGGATGAGGTAACCTATTGGACACACAATATGTTTATAAATTTAGATAAATAACCTAATGTGCACTTAACTAATTACAATGACAAAACTTTGCCTCCTGTTCTTTTAATATATGGGGTGAGATAATAGTTTCCAAAAGGAGAGAAACGTCTATCATTTGATCCAAACTCATCAGATTTATAGTAGTTACTTTCCCAGTTACATCAGTTATGTTAAATGAATCTACAAAAATGTATTTTTTCACTTCATAACAGAGATGAAGCCAATAGAAGCAGCAAAAAGATCATAATTGGTGTAAATGTATTTTGCTCTGAATAAATTTAAGAAGCTTTAATCTCTTTGACATTTCAAGCCCAGAAATTAAATGTTGTGAACATAAATGAGTGGACGCTTCTGCAGGGTGCAAAATGGTGAAGACATTTTGCATTGGAAATTGCAGTCTGAATAGTGCTGGCAGTAAGGAAGAAGGTAGGAAGAGGAAGCAGGGTGATTCTTGTTGATAGTTTATTTAGCACAGGGACCCAATTATGTTCCTATTGGCCGCATAACAGCTTTAGGGTTACCCACAATCCTTACCAGGATGTATAAGCACAGCTCACCTCATGGAGTTTTACAGAAACATTATTTCTTTAGATGTACTCTGTGTGTTTGGGTTCCTATAAAAGAGAGCTTGAGAGCTGACATTCACTTGCCTTTTGAAAAAGAACGTCAAAAACTGACCCTCTTAGACACAGCCCTTCCTCATTTACATAATGAGGCAGAAATGTATGTAGAAATTTAAAAACAACAGGCATAAATAAATAGCATTGAAGAAATAAATAGGGTAAAAAAAATACAGGATATATATATACCGGTATGTATATATATATATATATATATATATATATATATATATATATATATATATATATATATACATAATAATAATAAAAATAATAATAATAGATTTTATTTGTAACGCACCTTATATTTCAAAGAAATCTCAAAGTGCTACAGGGATTAAAAGAAGAAGAAAAAAAAAATATAGATAAAAAAAAAAAAAATAATAGTAATAATAAAAAAATAAAGAATAAATTGTAGGGCTTACAGTAATACATCTTACACCGAGTGGTATCAAAAACTAGCAATTGAAACTAACAATTAAAACTACAATTTAAAACAAAACTTACAGTTCTAAAAAGGCCTGTTTAAAAAGGTGAGTCTTAAGACCTTTTTTAAAGGCCTCCACACCTTGTGGGGCTCTCAGGGACTCTGGAAGGGCATTCCAGAGCCGTGGAGCTACTGCCTGAAAAGCCCTATCCCCCATAGTGGCAAGTTTGGTCTTAGGTTGATGCAGGCAGTAAAAGGAGGTGGAGGAACGAAGCCTTCGAGAAGTAGCGTGCGATGAGAGGAGTTCACTGAGATAGGCAGGAGCAACTCCATGGATGCATTGATAGGTAAGCAGACAGTTTATAATGTATTCTATGTTTGATCGGTAGCCAATGAAGTGAATTAAGAACAGAAGTGATATGATCGTATTTGCGCCTCCTCATCAGGACCCGGGCAGCACAGTTCTGAATGTGCTGGAGCTTTTGCAGGTTTTTACCAGAGGTCCCAAAGAGGAGGGCATTACAGTAGTCCAACCTTGATGAGATAAAGGCATGGATCAACCTCTCAGCATCCGGTTGGGAGAGGGAGGGGCGGAGTCTGGCAATGTTTTTGAGATGGAGGAAGGAGACTTTAGAAAGATGACGGATGTGGGAGTTGAAAGTGAGGTTAGAGTCAATCCTAACTCCAAGGTTTGTGACAGTGGTGGAAAAGGGAATGTTAAGACCAAATATTGAAATACTTCTGAGATTAGAGGACTGAGTTTGATGAGGGGTGCCAAGAAGGATGACATCCGTTTTATTACTATTAAGTTATAGAGAGTCTGCAGTCATCCATGCCTTTATCTCCTCTAAGCAAAGCTGAAGTGAAGACGGAAGAACTGTAGGAGAAGTGGAGTCCATTTTCATATACAGTTGTGTATCATCAGCATAGCAGTGAAAGGAGACCTTGTGTTTATTGATTATGTGACCTAGGGGGAGCATATAGATGGAGAAGAGGGTTGGCCCAAGGACTGACCCTTGTGGAACTCCACAAGTCACAATATGAGTTGAAGATTTAGACTGACCCAAGGAAACATATTCAGCTCTATTGGTGAGATATGAATGAAACTATTTAAGTGCTGTACCCGAAAGTCCAATTTCTGACTGTAGCCTGTTGAGAAGGATGGTGTGATTCACTGTGTCAAATGCAGCCGACAGATCAAGGAGGAGGAGAAGAGATGGTGAGCCCTGGTCCGCAGTCATGAGAAGGTCGTTCATTACGCGAACCAGAGCTGTCTCTGTACTGTGAGCGGAACGGAAGCCAGACTGAAACTTTTCGTAGAAGTTATGGATGTGAAGATGTTGATGAAGTTGGGCTGCCACAACTTTTTCCAAAACTTTGGATATAAACGGTAAATTTGAAACAGGTCTGTAACGGGCAAGAATATTGGGGTCAAGTGAGGGTTTTTTCAGATAAGGGTGGATGACTGCAGTTTTAAGAGATGGGGGAACCTGACTGGCCCGCAAAGACTGATTAATTATGGTTGTGATTAATGGGCAAATGGCTGTAATATTAGACTTAAGTAATGCTGTGGGGAGAGGGTCTAGCACGCAGGTGGAAGTTTTCATGCTTTTTACGATCTTCTCCACGTCTGACTGGGTGACAACGGAGAAAGCTGAAAATGTGTTACTTTGTGTGGGGAGAGGTATATCAACTTGAGATTCAGCTGTTACAGGGAGAGCAGACTGGATTGATGCCACCTTATTAATGAAAAAGTCCATGAATCTATTGCAATGATCTATACTGGTATCAGCATGCGTGTATGTGGAAGGTTTGACCAGAGAGTTTATGTCAGAGAATAACTGTTTGGAATTCCCACGGCTGTTCGAGATTTTTAGGGAGAAGTAATGGGATCTTGCTGCCGTGAGTGCTTTGGAATATGTCTTTTGGTGTTTGCGATAGGCTTGTTTGTGGACCACCAAGCCACTGGAGATAAACTGCCGCTCCAGGGCACGACCTGCAGTTTTCATTGTACGGAGTTCAGATGTAAACCATGGGGCTGATCTGGAGAAGGTAACTGACCGAGTTTTAACCGGTGCATGAGTATCAAGAATACTGCGAAGACTGAAATTATAGTGGTTGACATAATCATTGACAGAAGTGAATTTTGTAGTTAGTGAGATATCCTGAATATCCTGGTTGAAAAGGGTCAGATCTATTGTCTTTAAACTTCTGAATTGAATTTGACGTTTTGTTTGCATATATGTCTTTGTTAATGGCAAAGTCAAGGAAATTAATTTATGATCAGACACCCCCAAGTCTTCAACTTGCAGATTGGAAATGGGGGCGTTGTCCGTGATTACCAAATCCAAAGTGTGACCTCTTGTGTGTGTAGGTACTGAAACGTGTTGTGTGAGATGTAGACAGTCCAAGAGTTCGAGAAATTCTGCAGCAGGGCAGTTATTAGACGAGTGAACATGAATATTGAAGTCCCCCAGAATAAGCGTATTATGGGATGTGGCACAAAGTGATGTCAGGAGATCTTGCAGTTCCATAATGAATCCAGTGTTGAGTTTTGGTGGGCGGTAAATGAGGAGTATCAAAATTGTCTCATTTTGCAATTTACAATTGAAAAGAAGGCTCTCAAATGTAGTCAGCTCCGGTAGTGGGAGGGGGGTTACAGGTAGATCCCTGCGATGGAAAACGGCCAACCCTCCACCACGGCCAGTGGTCCTAGCTTTCTCCAGATGTGTATAACCTGGTGGACAAGCTTCATTTAGTGCCATATGTGAACTAGGTTTGTGCCAGGTTTCAGTAAGGCACAATATGTCCACTTTTTTATCACATATGTGATCAAAAATAAAAGTGGTTTTATTGCAGAGTGATTGAGTATTGAATAGTTCTATTTTTAATTCGGAGTTGGGCTTAGCCTTTGGGAAGGTGCGAAGTAGACGAAAATCCACCCCGCGTCTTCCCTGTCGCCGCTGCTTTCCTATATTGTCTCTTGTGTTGGTCGTCTTCCGATGACGTAACCAATGACGTGTTAAATGTGCACCACGAGAATGTAGCCGGTGGATGTAGTATGGGCCGGTGATGAAGCTAGACAAATCTTGTCGGTGTTCGTGGTGTAATGACAGACCATGGGAAGATTGGGGTCGATGGCGGTTCAGCCTTTGAGACCAGGGGCCAGCCGGAGCAGTGTGGAGATGCCGTGCCCACGCAGAGTGGAGGTGCAGGGGGGCCAACGGTGCCATCCACGGCTTAAACCAGGAAGACGCGCTGCTCCTGGACTCCAATGACCCCGTCCCGCTGATGTCCTGTAAGTTATCGTTGATGCTCCTGTTCGGGGTAGAGTCGCCGTGAAGGCAGCTTACTTCTGATGAAAGGTTTAGCGGGCCTGGACACTGGTGGATGTCCCCAGATAGAAGCAAGCAAGCGGCGATGATGAAAGCGATAGTTTGCCGTGGTTTTAATGCAGTTTTGGATTGAGATGATGTCGGGCTGAGGAGTTGCGGATAGATGAATGTGGCGGCCAAGACATGCCTGCCAAATTCAAAGTGCTTGAGGGCTTGCCTTATTTTTGTTTTATTTGAAAATGACAGATCAGTCCCATATAAATAGGAGTCCGCTTGTGATCGACCGTTGCCAGAAAGATTGAGATTACTCATCAGTATTGTGTATATAAAGAAAGTCGCAAGTACTCCTACCAAACCAGGCGCCGCCATTTTACGGCAGGTAAAAGGTAACGTCCGTGTTTCCCAGCCCTATATATATATATATATATATATATATATATATATATATATATATATATATATATATATATATATATATATATATATATATATATATATATATAAAGAATAAAACAGACAAAAATATTATTACATGCACAAAAATCAAGAACCTAAAAAATAAGTAATTAAATAAAGTTGAAGATTATAACAGACAAATGAATAAGGTCATTATTATAAAGGCAAATAAATTAATAAGCTAATTAAAAGAGATATATACACTGTATAATTTAATTTCTACCAACATTTATTTGTTTATTTTATTTTTTGGGGGGCAATTAATTGTCTGCTTATTTATTTATTGAGCATTTATTTACTTCTGTATTCATTTTTAAATATGGAAGAGCTGGTCCTCCTTATCACCTTTATTCCAATCTTTTTTCTCATGAGTGTAGTTTTTGTTCACTTTACAATAAAAAAAGGCAAAAGAATTAAAAAGAAACAGAAGTGAAAAGTTCATATTAATTTTTGCTTCCTGCGTTGTGTGTTGCTAAGCAACAGAGCATACTTGCGGTGAAAACTGCGGAAGGATGGACCTGTTTGAATTCACAGCCAAAACTCTTCCGGTCTTATTTTCAAGGACTTCGAAGGATCCAGTCCAGATAGACCGGGTCCTTGGAGGATGCAGCCTTAAAATGGAGCACACACAAAGTGATAACATTTTGGAAAGTAATAAGCATCCTTCCACTAACTGGTTTCTATTAAATAGGGCTTTTTTTTTTTACCCATTGTTTCACAGCTCTGATTATGGTGACCTCCTGGCCATCATGTTTGAAATGTTTCTCTGCTGTGGCACAGTTAAAGCTAATGAATGGAGCATTGTTAGGATTATATCATAGTTAAAAACAACATTCCATATTTAAGAAGTAAAATTCTAAATAATTCAGGTTTCAACTAGCATTTAGCATTAATCAAAACAACAATAAAAATATTCTTTACTAGAACTCTTTTGCTAAATGTGGTGTTCTTAATTTTAGGTCATATGCTTTTTAGTCTTCGCATGCACCCTTTGGATGGTAACAACCACAGGCAGCTGGATAATTATTATTTTACTTATTATTTCCTTTAATAGTTTAGATGTTCCATTTCTTTGCTCTTTGTGAGTCTGAATATGCAATAAATAAAACAATCTGATTGACTGAACCAGTCTAAATAAAGTGATGGTTTTGATCTTGTTAATCTGCTTGTTTTTGTGGTTTTGAGGCTTTTAAATTAATATAATAAAACTTGTCCACTTCATCTACAAATTTAAAAAAACACATATGCACACAAATAGTAAAACTATGCATGCAGTCAAGATTAGGATGAATATATTAATACGAGCTGACAGAGATGAAATCATTCTGTCATACTGCAGTAAATCTGTTAAAGATGTAAACTTAATGGATAAATTGGGAGATCATGTTCCTGTTCCTTAAATAAAATGAATTCACTCAACGCCATGCGTTCATGAGATACTGAATAAAAACAAAGTGTTGCTCAGCACCTGGTGGTTTGATCCCTGCAGCTTTCCGCAGAGCGCTGTAATAAGGCACCCAGTTCTCATGCTCCACGCCGCCCCTGTAGTCGATCACTTTCACCCACTCCGGGTTGTTGTTGACGAATTCCCCGGATGTCGTAGTCCACTCCTTCCCCAGACTTCCAACAAACAGGTGCTCATCCTTCACTGCCAGCCACTCTGCCTTGAACCCTGCACAAAAAATGAAGAATTAAATGGGATAAAGAATAATTCCTTGGAAAACCATTAGTAGCTCTTAAACGTTTCATTTTAAGCACAGATTTAAGAAAGCTTTGGGAGTTTGTCTGACAGAACACAAAGGAGAGCACATATATCCATTGTGAGGAAAATGACGCCTGGTTTTCAGGGTTTTTAAGAAATAATAATTTGAAAGATGACGTATTCAGCCTCCTGTACTCTGATGCACCTAAATAAAATCCTGTGCAACCAACAGCCTGTAATGTCACTAAATAGAGTCAGCTTGTGTTTGATTTAATCTCGGTATAAAAACAGCTGTTCTTTGGCCTTAGAACTCTGTCAGAGAACATTACTGAACAAAAATCCTCATGGAGAGCGAAGGGCACAGCAGACTGGAAAGGGAGAGAGTTGTGGAGACATTTGAAGCAGGGTAAGGTTATTAAACCATATCCCTGCCTTTGAACATCCCACACAGCTCTGTTCAATCCATCAGCTGAAAACCAGGCCTGAACAAAACACGGTTATTCACGTGAAGTAAAAGATCAGACAGGGAAGATCATTATTCCAAAAAGCAGGCAAAAGATGTGTGTTAGTGTTGGAGGAGCTGTAGAGATCATCAGCTCAGGTGGAAGTATCTAATGCCAGGTCGGCTATTAGTCCAAAAATTTGAATTTTCCGAATTCTATATTCCGAAAATTTAACCTTTATGGAGTCAAGAGGAAAACTAACACTGGTTATCACCCCATATAGAGGCTAAACTTACTGCTAAACATTGAAAGTGCTTTCTGTTCCACAATCTTAAAGGTATAGTGGAGGATTTTTTACGAATCTTTGAAAAGACCCGCCCTCTCCACTAAAAAAAATAAATAAATGCACATGCACAACCCTGTAACGCCTCCTGAGAGGGAACGTCTATTAACGTGTGTGAGAGCATGTATGAGCCCATTTCTCCTTATTCAGGCTCGGCTTAAAAGTTGCTGGTTGCATTACTCATATACAGTAAGCTTACTTTCCAAAAGATTTGCAATTTTTCCACTATGTCAGACTCACCACAGTGTTATGCCAAGAATGATCTCCTATCTCGCACACCGATGAGAAAACTGATTGAAATATGAATGAAAAAGGGAACTTTTAAACATATTCTTAATGTTTTGTCAGAACTGATATAGAATTATGTTGATAGCAAAAGCTGCTAATCCTATCCACTGAGCAGAGAATATATTCATCGGACACTGACTGTAGCGCATCAACTAAAACAGGTCTCCACACAAATAAAAATCATATTCATTCAAATTTATCTGTCCACCATAAGTCTAAATTTTAGGTCATCCATGCATAAGAAATATGAAAACATTAAGAATATGTTAAAAAGTTTCCTTTTTCGTTCATATTTCAATCCGTTTTCTCATCAGTGTGCGGGAGGGGAGGTCATTCTTGACAGCCCGGTACTTCTCATCATAGGATTAGGTAAACACCAATGGTAGACGAGCACGTAGGATGGCCTTATGTCACCAGAGGGATTGATAATTAGGAGGGCCACTTATTTGTATGATCCACCCGGAAAAAGAAACTCCTCCAATATACCTTTAATATCCAACATAAATCGATTTAGATTACAAAGTGTAAATGTAACATGTAATGGTACAGACACCAATACACTATTCACTACTTTGGCAGCTTCCTAGTAAGACCATGCTTTTCTTTGGCAGAGGTAAGAAAGCTACTAGGAGTTACAGGGAGGAAGTATGGATCTAAATACAGAGTTGGAACAATGGAACAGTTCAGAACAAGCCATGTCACATCACATTGGCCAGATCCAGGCCTAAATCCTGGCTTTGTAGAACCAGCCACTACCCCAACTGAGTCTCTTTTACTTTCCTTGACAATTAAGCACTAAATTTGATTGTTCTGCCACGTAAAACACAAAATAAAAGCATGGTAGCATGAGAGAGTAATCAGAAAAATTGTAAAAAAGTTCAAGAGGTTAAGAACACAGCCGCAAGGTATCGTACAGCTTTCAAAAAGTTCTTGGTTGGATGTAAAGCTTTTGTTTCTCCTTCTAAAGAAAGGGTCAGCCATCTTTTAGACCCCACAGCCTAAACACTGACCTTTAGGGACGGAGCCATCGCCGTCAGGTAGAATCACCCAGGGAACGGCTCTGCTTCCCTCAATCCTGTACACCACACCTGTGCGGTCATCCACACTGTACAGGTGACCATTAAAGGCCACCAGCTCAGACAGCTCCATTCCTGTAGGTAAAGCATTGCATCAAACATCAATAACACAGAGGAAGCAGTTGAAACATATCTAAGAGCAGGATGCATCCAGATACCTCGTCCTTTCTCAGCCAGACTGCTCTCTAAAGTGATTGTGTCAGCGTCCCACTCCACCTCCACTCTGTCTGCACTCTCTGAAATGGTCACATAGCCTCTCTTCATGTAGCTGAACCACGTCTGACCCTTGGAGCTTCGGGATGCCACGTCCAGGTCTGCGATCACTCCTATACGGTAGCGAATACCATGCTGCGTCCTCTCCGGAGGACTCAGCGGGTATGTGTCATTGTAGGGCTTTCCGCTCTTCAGATGCCAAGCAAGAAGTCTCTGAGATCCTACATCCGACTCTCCCCCTCTGTGCGTTAGAAAACTACCTTTGATTGGTGTGTTTGTGTTCCCTACTGTCCGGTGCAGATATAACATGAGCACTAAAGCCAGGAGGCTGGTCACAAATATTGCTCTCCATCTTGGCTGAAAGCGCAGGTCCCAGGCAGCAGCCTGTGTCATGGACGCCAAGGCCAGGGGGAGGCCTCGCACAACGAAACCAAAGGAGTTCATGGACGTGCCGTGTTCATCCCAGAGCCGGTTGTGGGCTGCGGTTGAAAACTACGACCGCCTGGGGAAGAAGAAGAACAAGAGGAACATCAGCACAGGGGTCTGCAGGTACTGGATGGTAACATAAAATCTAGAAATTAGGTGAAAACCAGTGAGGTTGCTGGAGCATAAGAAGACTTTCATAGCAGCTTGAGAAGAATGAACACTGGGTGGAGGACAAGCCGCTAAAATGGGCTTTTGTTCCCATTGTTCTTTCTTCACAGCAGAGCTTTGTTTGACTGAGCAGATCGCATGCTGCGTAGGAGATGAGCAAACACGGACCTAGCAGTCAGACTTCTCATTCAACAGGAAGGATGCAAAGAAAAACGGCAGCGATACCATTGGTTGGCAGCCCTGATAAACAGGAGTGTAAATATTCCACAATCTAAAGCTTTTATCCAGTACATTAATTTAGTAAATTATTATAATTTACGTTTAGAAAACATTTTTAATAAAATCCCCAGTAGGTCAACCATTAACCTTTCTGATGGGAGTATTCTGTTTTTTAAAGCCTTTAGCATATAGCACTTCAACATTTCACAACGTTAGAGCCAACAACAGTGAGAGAGTTAGATGTATTCACACCGTTCCCATCCAGAGTCCTAGGTCTCCTATTCAGCTTTACCTCACAAACTATCTATAGTATCAGGGGACTGAGATGGAAATTAAAAGAGGTTCATATTTTGTGCCTGTTGAACCTTTTTTATATTGTTTTGGCTCATTATCCTGCTAAACCATATTAGCGAGTAGGCACCAAATCAAATTTGAGTTCTTGAAGCCATCAGAATCAGAAATACTTTAAAAAACAAAACACTTGGCATATTGTTAGGGTCTACTGGTTTTTAAAGGGTGCAATTTGTAATTGGAAGGGTTTCTGAACGGCAAATCAATTTTACAAATAAGATAAACGTTGCAGCCACTACATGGTTGTTACTATATCCAGTAAAACACACTGGTTACAAAATGAATACAATGTCTTCAGGCCAAAGGGAAATACTGTATGCTTAGGTAGTTGTAACGCAACTTATAAGTCCTTTTGATAATTTTGTAATCCAGCTGCTACTTTGCAGACTGGCATCACCTGCAAAAGATAGTGACAGGAGCTGAGGAAGCAATCAGACCGGCCCAAGAAGACTGTCCAGGCTGTTTTGCAGAGCAGCTAAACGTCCCATGAACTGCTGCAGTCAGGTAAATAGCACCAACTATGAGATGTGTTGTTGATCTCGCACAGTGTTAAATATTATTCTTTTAAATATCGCTATGTGTTTTTCTGTAAGCTTTCTTGTGTCTGTTACATCTGTATTTCCCACAATGGAACAATAAAGTTGTTTATATTCTATTCCAAACCATCCACAGGAAAACGAGAACACGGAACCACAGCTTTCTGTCTTAAAAAATGAAAAGGCTGAACTACCATCAAGGTTATAAACTGCATGTCATCAGCAGAGAACAGAGAAATGTTATCGCATATGTTGTATGTTGTTTGGTATGCAATTAAATTAATAGATTTAATGTTCCTGTTTCTCCACTGAGGGAGCATTTACTAAAGTTATTCAGTTTATCTTCTTTTTATTACAAAAAATGATTAGTCTATGTGAGGAAGATTAAACAAGGCTGACAGGTAACCAGATGCGCTACTTTTTGAAATATGAGTTCTCTGTTTTGAGTCAACGTGACCCTTCATCTGAGGGTGACAACAAACAGAAAAACAAGTCTCAGCCTTAAGTACAGGCTGACTTTTGTTTGCTTAACTGAATTAAATCTCGCATCGCTGTTTCGATATAAATAATGCAATCAAAGTAGAGTAGTAATCTTTATAAGACAACTTAAACAAAAACAAAAAATAGTTTATATTTGATGACTCTTCTACAAGATGAAAACACAAAGGCTTCACAAAAGTAATTGCCAAGTTTTTTTTCAGCTAGAGTAGATAAACTTACATTGAGTGATTCTCCCGGTGCGTCTTTAGTTGCTTTTTGAACACATTCACTCCCGTCGACTCTTTAAAGGAATAGTACACCCAAAACATGATTAGCCTTCATTTTCTACTCACCCCCATGCTGAACAACACCCTGGAGTACTTTTTTGATATCTCAAATGCATCTGGAGATCTGGGAGGCTTCTTGCTGTCTGCTGACATTCAAATAATGGAGGTCTATGGTGCCCGAGACAGAAAGGTCCATAAAAGTCCACAAAAACGTGTCAATATTCCTCCATACTGCTCGTCCAATGTATTCCAAGTGTCCTGAGTGGGTAGCATCCAGAATTTACTCGAAACGAAGTCATTTAGAATGTTTTTAGAGCATAAACAGTAGTGTAGAGGATTTCCTGAAAGCGCGCACATGCGCGTTCACGAGCCTACGGAAGCCGGCAGACCAAACCAGCACATTCAGCTCGGCAAAGAACTCATGCTCTTCCTCAACACTGAAGTCCTCAGACATTTTTCTTTCGTTGTTTCTTTCTTTGCACAGGTAAACAGCACATTTATTCTTCTACGCTTGCATTATTGGCAGAGCAGACGCTGAATGCGCACTTTCATCTGGTTTGGTCTGCCGGCTTCCGTAGGCTCGTGAACGCGCATGTGCGCGCTTTCAGGAAATCCTATACACTACTGTTTATGCTCTAAAAACGTTCTAAATGACTTCGTTTCGAGTAAATTCTGGATGCTACGCACTCAGGACACTTGGAATACATTGGACGAGCAGTATGGAGGAATATTGACACGTTTTTGTGGACTTTTATGGACCTTTCTGTCTCGGGCACAATAGACCTCCATTATTTGAATGTCAGCAGACAGCAAGAAGCCTCCCAGATCTCCAGATGCATTTGAGATATCAAAAAAGTACTCCAGGGTGTTGTTCAGAATGGGGGTGAGTAGAAAATGAAGGCTAATCATGTTTTGGGTGTACTATTCCTTTAAGCCATGCAGGGAAAACTTGGCAGAGCATAAAGAGAGTTCATTGTCGACACTGAATAAACCGTCCCATACGATCCACCCCTCTGCACCACAGGACCAAACAGGAAATAGTTCTACTGCATTAAAAAATTTAAGCTATTCACCCTTCCTTCGCCATCCTCTGCCCTGAACAGGCTGCTACCTTCATGTCGTTCTGCTCTGAACACGTCCCTCGCTCATCCAGCCCCCTGTACCCACATGAATACTTGATCACTGCTCTGCTCTCCTGCACACCATCTCAAATGTCTCCCATTTCTGCACAGCCAAAAACGACTTGGTCTCTTAATAATGAATTTGGAACAAGAGGACTAGATTCTTAAAGGTTTCTTATTCCACTCTGCTTGAAGTGTTAGGTCTGCCAAAAGGAGAAGTTCCAAAACATTAAAACTAAAAGATTCATCTGAAGCTAGGGGCATTCATATTTATCAAATAATATCAGTGTTATGAAGGGCTGTATAGAGATTAGTTCCAACAATTTCCATTCCCAGCTCCACAGCAGACAGAGACTAATGTTTAAATTACCTGATTAGGTGAACGGGGTGAAGGAAAACTAGCAGGAATTTTACTTTTGAAGCTGGATTTATGCCTGACTCACAGAGCCATGATAACCAGTGTTTCATTGCATTGCCCTGGTAGAACAGGTTCCAATCATTGAGAAACTACAGGTTTTATACTGAGACTGTATTTTAATCCAATAAACACACGTACGTGAAATGATTTTTAAGCATTTCTATTGTGTTTTCTTAAAGCAAGTATATGTTGGCATCTATATCAGACAGAGGAGATACAAACTAATGGATCCCCAAGTGTTTATAAGGGTACAGAGGAGCAGTCAGCACTGAGCTCACAGGGAAACCTTTAAGAGAAAGATGGCTGATTTAGGAGGATGATCTACATCATTCTATGCTTTATACCACCTGTTCCGATTCCAGCTTCCAGAGTAATGTTGGCAGATCGGTTTAAAAAAAGTTTCTGTTGTGTTTAGATCCAACTTCCGCTCCAACTCTTCTTCATCGGTGGGATATTACGTAACAGGGAACCAAACGGCTGTTTAACTCTATCCGTCAGTTATTTATAAACTTTAGCAGCATATAAGACTGAGAAAGCCGTTTATGATCGATATAGTCAAGCTCCACAATCTTTAGCCCAAACCTTTGAAAAGTCCGAGTGTTTAACCGCGGACAGAAAGTTATCTGAGAGCTAGCTGTAGGACACGTCACAGACTTATTAGCCGCGCGGCTAATAGCTGCTAGCGACATCAGCTTGTCAACGTTTACATTTTCCGATGTAAAGTCCTTACCAACCTGCTCACTAGTAGACAGGTTAACCCTGTTCATGGTATCCTCACCTGGTCTGGAGGCTCCTCACATCCGCCCTGTTGGCCATGTCTGTCTGTCTGTCTTGTCTCCTGCTGCTCATGACTCCCTGCTGATCTTGTCACCTCCCTCAGACATTAGCGCGATTAAAAAACATGAGGACCAAACAGGGTTACTAACTTTCTAGACAAGAGGGGCAAGCAGTAGTAGTACCGGAAATAACGGGTCATTCTCAGAAAAATATCCTAACCCTGAAATCCCACATACTCCGTCTGCGCTCCGCTCCGCTCCGCTCCGCCCCGCTGCGCTCCAGACCGCCTGCACAAAGCAAAGCCTACAGCCGCCGCTGTTGCTCCGTCCCCTCCGCTCTGAGTTCCTTGGAGATCGTAGAGGGCATGCGCCAGATGAACCAGGGTTTCCGCGGATCATTAAAAATAATTACAATTCATAATTCTTTTTTTAATCAAGGCCTTAATTGGCACTAAAATTAATTAAATATGTTTATCGTTGCATTTATGATTCTTTAATAAAAATGCTTCTAAAAACAATTTCGTCAGATATATTATATCGCTATTAATTTGCGTGGAACTGTTTATAAAGCCGTATGTTCGGAAAGGAAGCTCGAGGCGGAGAAAAAGCTAGAGGATATATATACGTATGTATGTGTGTCTGTGTTTTTACATACATACAGGAGTCATGGATCTGTGCTTACAGATCCTTCATATTTCATGTACACTGATAACTTGTTGATGGCATTAAAATCATTTCTAATAGCATTAAAATAGCATTAAATTAGAGTCAGTCATTCCTGTATGAATCCTGTTAGCGCTTAATTTAATATGGCATATCAAAAAAATCTCACCATCATCCAGCATATGTTCAGTTTCTGTCCATATATATATATATATATATATATATATATATATATATATTTGTAGATTTTTGTAACAGAGATAAGGATAATTCAAAACTGCTTTTTTTTTAATGAACTTGTTCTCTACAACTCAGCTTCTCTTTTCATTCCTGTAATAAGAAGTTTCTTTTGAATGGATTTGATTAAACTTTAAGTCCCTCGGTATAAAATAAATATTTTAATGGAGATGAGAAATCTGCTTCCTGGTTGGTGAATAACCAATAGTTTGAATCCAATCATTTAAATAAACGGTGTTAGTTTTTTTTTTTTTTTTTTTTTAGATATTTATAAGAATTGTGCTATAATTTCTAGTCACCAATCTGTTGCTACTATATTTTAATTTGACGAACCGGAATTTGTCGAGGTTCTTTTTCCTGTTTGGTGCGATTGCAATTGCGGATCTTGACTTGGCCGGACCGGAGCGGAGCAAAAAATAGCTCGGCTCCGTAATTTGTCGGTGACGGACGGAGAAGACGTACGTGGACGGAGACGTGCGGAGGAGTAGCGGTGGATGTGGAACAGTTCTCATTGATTTCCATGAAAGACAAGCGCTCCGCACGACGTACGTCAGCGGGGCGGAGCGGAGCGGAGCGTTGACGGAGTATGTGGAATCTGGGGGTCAGAAGTCATTTGGGTATATATATATATATATATATAATGCAGTTTTAGCATCTTTTTAACCGTGTCATGCATTTATAAAAATCTTGGCTAAATATTAAGTTTGCAATTCAAATTTATATTTTTTAATACATATTTAGCTCCAAACTATATTTAGCTCCCCTCTAATATATATATATATATATATATAGGCAGTTTTAGCATTTTTAACTGGGTCATTTATTTATAAAAATCTTAAATATTTAGTTTGGAAATATTTTTTTTCTTAAATAGATATTTAGCTCCTAACAATTTATTTAATCAACAAAGTAAGATTTTTTATAAATGAATGACTGACAGTGAAAAAATGACTTGGAAAAAATAACCCCCCAAATTTATTGATATATATATTTACATACATACATACATACATACATGCTTAACAATAAACAGTAGTTAATAACAAGACCATTTACTCTATCTCCCAGTTCAAGGAATTTATAGCTGAATGTTTATTTAATTATCTAAAGTAAAAATTAAATGTAGAAATGCACATTTGAAACACATGTTAATTCACTCAAATTCGCCTTTTTTTTCTGTCCAAAAATGTTTGGTTCAGTAGAAATTCGTGCACTATTTTAAGCGTGTTATATTGACTAATAATACCAATTTTTTTTTTTTTTTTTTTGTTTATTTGTCAGATTTTATTGAGGAGTTTCATTTCGGGTTGGCTTCCAGAATATGATGTGTAAACTTTAAACTTAAGATGTCATTATTAAAAGGGTCGTAGAAAACAAATCGAGTTTACATGGTAATAGATGAATAATGATAGTTCAGTGGGTGAAATGGATGTAGAAAAGTTCAAACCCCATTGACACCTCCTTTCTCTGCAAATCTCACAATTCTAAACTTCCACCATAAAACAGGCGAATCCATATGAAACCCCGAATTGACGTCAATTCAGGATGTTGCCTTATTTGGTTCTAGCCTGTACTTTTCTTACACCCCAAAATTGACATACAGACCAGCCCACTGGCTCACTGGCCCAAGAACATGAATAGAGGTAGATCTCCCAGACGAAAAAAAAAAAAAAAAAAAGAGGACATCTGGTCACTCTACCATATCAACAATTAGATGTTTCAGTGAGTGAGTGCTTGTTGCTATGATGAGTCTTTGCTCAGCAGCTTCGCTCGTTGTAAACCAACCAATCAGTGCACAGCTCATCTAAATATTCATGAGCATACCATAAAAGGAACAAAACCTGTTATTCCATTGTAGGGCTTTTAGCCAGGCTTGCATTAGGACTCATAGAACAGCAAATATGCCATTTCCAGCCCAACCAATGTTACACACCCTATTCAGAGACCTCAGGGACCAGCACCGAATACCCTATAGAATCATTCCATGGAATGGGCCAAAATACCAGCAACAGTGTGTGAAAACCTTGTGAAGACTTACAGGAAACGTTTGATCTCTGTCATTGCCAACAAAGGATATATAACAAAGTATTGAGATGAACTTTTGTTATTGACCAAATACTTATTTTCCACCACATTTTGCAAATAAATTCTTTAAAAAAAATCAGACAATGTGATTTTCTGGATTTTTTTTTCTCATTTTGTCTCTCATAGTTGAGGTATATCTATGATGAAGATTACCGGCCTCTCTCATCTTTTTAAGTGGGAGAACTTGCACTATTGGTGGCTGACTAAATACTTTTTTGCCCCACTGTATGTAAAGACCCGAATGCTACAAGTCAGTGACTTAACACAACGTTTTGGTTTCCTCACCTGGAAAAAGTCTCAGCTGCATGCTTGAATATTAAGAACTCTAAAAATAAGATCAAGGGAAGTAGTATTAAATCCTGTATAGTCTAAGATGTTTGATTTTCAGAAACAAGCAGTTTTTTTTTTGTTCCTGTGGGTTTTCAAATATTTTAAACCAACAGAACACACTGTATAATATCTATGTGCAAATATGATCCTCCTGTGTTTAAATGTTCATATCCATGGAAATGCAATCTGCTTAGCCGATAGTTACACATGGCTCATTTCACAGCAGTTATTTTCACCACAGAAAGAACACATTTTTTAACCAGATTTTTACAGGAACAAACTTTGATAAGGAGTACAGCCCATCTTAATTGGGGGGGGGGGGGGGGGGGGGGGGTGGGGGGGGGGATCTATCTTGAAACAAGATGAATGGTTCATAAGCTCACACTGCTCATTAACTTTTAAATGTAAATGAGCAGCTTATGGTTTTACGAAACAATAAGACTACAAAAAGAAATATTTTTTTCGTGAATTTAAA